ATAAAAATATAAGTAAATCCAATAAAGAGCTCGTGCATAAAATATAACAAAAAATGCGCCGGTCTACAAATTGTTCGTCTATTACAGAGAAACACTACCTTGTCAAGCTAAAGATGGGAAATAATTGATTTTATGAATCTAGTGACAGCATTTGTTTGTTATTATACTAAAAAAATGTTATTTTATTTATTTTTTTTTTTTTCATGTGTACTATATGGTTTTCATTTTATTTTAATATTGTAGCTTATTGTAGACATTTATATGAGAACTGTTCGATTATCGGAAATGTTTATGTATATGTATCTCAATATTTTAGATGATATAAAGGGCATTATTTCCACCAGATGTGTATAATTTATTATTTAAATTTCCATTCAATATATTTGCTATTCCATTGAAATTTTGCTATGTTAGTTTGTCTTACAGAGGTTGTTTATGTTTGTGCATTCATGTACACTTAAGTTTCCAAATAATGTTGCGTCATAATTTTTTGATCTATATAGTTTAAATTTGTTTTTCTAAATACCTTCCTATGTAGGAGCATTTTGTTTGTTTTTATTTAATTATAGTTGTGCCTTATTTTGTAATTTATTATAAGAGTGAGTGTATATTCATATTTTAGTCTCAAATTTATGCACATAGAAGGATATAATTAATAGTTCCACATTTAATATTAATTCTTAAATGTATTTTAATTTCCTTTGTCCATTTATAGTATTAAAAAAAATCATATGCTTAGGTGTATAAATTTAAATGTTTTGTTTAACAAAAAATCAAATATAGTGATTTTTTGAAATTATAACTCTAAAGTATTGTTTGTAACGGAAAAAAATAGTGTAATTAATTGTTCTGCTGGTAAAACTACGCATCCCTTTCCTAAACACTATGTTATGATGTAATAGATTATATGATAAAAAGCAAACGTTTAACCGTTGAAGTTAAGGAGAAACATAAATATATTAAGAACATCTAAATATATAAATTGAGCAAATAAATATCCCAACTTATATATTAATATAACACTATATACTTAAATACGTTTTCGTTCATTCATATTGTAGTATTATTATAATATATTTTAACCCCTCTTATAGAGCATTGTAAATAATTTTAAATTCATATAACAGTAACTTGAAGTTTATTTTAAGAAACACTATATAAACATCATTTTTATGTAATTATGTTAAAATATATAAAATGTTTTGTGCTTATCCTATAAAAATATAGCAAAATAATCCTTTTTAAGTTAATATACAACTATTTATATAAAAGTGAATATAATTTATAATCTTCCTTATTTTTTTTAATTTTTATTTTGAAATATTAAAAATAATGTTATAAAATGAATGGTTCTTTTTTTTCTACCTATTTATAATAATTTGTTCTTTCATTACAACATTTGTAAATATGCAAAATAAATAAATAATTGAAAGTTATATAAATAAAGTATAAGAAAAATATTATCATATTATATTCACTTACCCTTTTTATAAATCTCTTAGTTGTAAACCTCTTATTATAAAAAAAAAAAAAATGCAGAATAAAGCTATTATTCCAAAGAATTTTTCTAAAATTACGAAAATTTACGTAGAAATTTATAAATTGTTCTTAAAAGTGATTTTTTCTAACACTTAAAAAATCGTATAGTTTATTACATTATAAAAAGAATAAAAAAAAAAAAAAAACATTATTTTCGGAAAGGATTTCATAAAATTAGTTATTTTTAAAAGTTACATTTATTAGCAATTTTTTTAATACATATTATGCACATCACAACTAGCTGCATGAAAAAAAATTAGAGTAATGCATGACTTTACGTATAAGGCTTTGCTAAATTTTGTTTTACACTTTCTATTTTTTCTTCTTTATTTACACTAAATAAAATGTCAATTTTATTAAAAAAGAAAAACTTATGAAATTGCCGCCTTCATTAAAAGGCTATGTTTAATACTCTAAAATTATTTTATTAATGTAAATGATTAATTTATAATATAATTTAATATATTAATATATTTGTCCAGTAGGTTTAAAATTAAAAATATTACACGCTTATTATTTTATAATTTATAAAAAAAATTTTGACTTTTTTTTTTTTTTTTACATCTTTATGAATTTAATAATAAATATATAATTTTAAAGCTATTTTAGAGCTCCTATTTTATATATATAGTCAACCATAATATGTTCGTAGAAGTTGCCTATATTTTGTTCACTGTGTGAAAAATTAGGACTCTTTTGAAAATTTTTTGTAACCGTAGTTAGCTAATGCTTTAATTCTATGTAATATTATTTTTTATCTTTTACAGAACATCCATTTTATATGGTAGATAATTTGATTTATACATGTATTATCTTATTCCATTATTTAATTAACAAATGCCTAATATAATAATTATATGACTTATAATTTACTAACCTATTCATTTATTAATTCAGAAATTATACATATCAATTTAACTATATTTAATTGGGATTCTCATATATTTAGAAATAATTTGAGAGTACTAGTTTTATTAAATTATGTTAATAATATTAACTCATATTTGCTTACATTAAAAATAATTCACATTTATATCTTTTAATAAGTTATTAAAAAATTATATATAGAGCTTTATTTATAATATTGTAACAACAAGCAACGAGTTGTCAAATAATATTTTGAGCATTTTATACATATTAATATAGATAAGCATTTATTTACCAAGCACACAACAGAACAAAATCAGAACAACATGGCAGGAACTTTTAAATCTCTTTTTATGAGTAAAATATCCACAATTTTGTTCCTTATTTGGATGTACCATTACAACAATTATGATGTAAAATTATAATATTTCAAGTGTCTTCTCACATTTAAGGATTTCTTTTTTCTTTTAAACATTGTTTAATACAGTAAAAACATAGTTTTGTGATTAAAAATTGTTATTTTTATTACCTCTTTTTAGGGATCTATAAATAGAGCCATTGATGGAACACAGAAACTAAATAAATCATTAAATTCAAGAACTAGTCGATACTTATCAACGTATGATGAGATGCATTATTCAAAATACTATTATCCAGATTACGGATATAAGAAGGAAAAGAATTTTAAAAAATTTATAAACAATGTAACACATAAAAATCAAAACATTTTAAAAAAAATAGATGCCTCCTACGAAAAAGAATTATTCCATAGATTTAGTGAAATAAACAATGCTGCAAGAGAGAGAAGAAGTATGGGTGAAAAAAAGTATTATTTTAAAAAATACAAAAATCTTATTGCTATATTGTCTGTACCTTGGGCTTTATATTTATCAGGAGTTTATCTTTTGGTAAAAAGTTCCTTATTTTATGAAAATATGTATATTTTTTCAATAGTACTTTGTTTATCATCTTTATTAGCACTTATATATATTTTCACAAAAGTCTTTAAATATCGTATGATGCGAGAAGGAAGGTTTAAACCCAAAGTATCTGATTATATAAATGTTCTTAAAAAATCATGTAATGAGTGTCATTCAGATTATGGTACATTAAATTATGATATGCTTTAAATATTATATATATGTTGGCTTAGCTTTCTGTAAAACAATACACATAATCTTGCCCAATATGTCAAAAAGTTCAATGATAATTTATATATATATAATTAAAAAACATCTGTATTCTATTATGTTTCAATTTATATTCCTTATCGTTCATACAATGTAATTTCTTTAATGCACTTTATAAGTCTATTATGTTTTGTAGAAATTATTACTATTGTATATGTACATATATGCGAATATGAGAAACATGAATTTCAAATGTGTATTTTTATTTATTTAAGCACGTTAATTATTTGTCTTTCTCCTCATATGATAACGTGGTAAATAATACATCTTTTTTCAATCATTATTTTGTTTTTGTTTACATGTATTTTAATAATTAGTGATTAACTTGTTTTTGTTTAATTTAAGCTTTACTTCATTACATTTAAATGTAATAAAATAAAAAACTTATCATTTGTTTTAAGTTAAATATAAAAATGTCTAATTTGGCATCTAAAGAGAGAAAAAAAAAATAAATATAATTTATTTATATTTTTTATTCAATCTGGGAATAACTATAATATAAATTTCTCTATCCATTTTATTAACTATAAATCATTTAGGCATATATAATAGATGTTAATATATTTTAAAACGTATTAATTAATATAAAAATTATAGCGAATCTCGCGTTTTACAAGGGAGGAGGGTTTGATTTACAATTAATACAATTAATAAGAAGGTTAATATAGATGGAATTACTCAAAATATCATGAACATGATAAATATTCTTATAAATATTTTTTATATTAATAGCAATGCATGAGTAAATTAAATGTAGACCTAAAAAAAAAGACGGAAATAAATTAGAGAGATAAAAATGAAAACATAAAATTAACCAAGGAAACTATATTGCATACCATTCAATTATTAAGAACATGTCAGAACAAATTCAAAATAGTACTGAAATATTTTACGTTATGTCAACATTTATGTTCAATGTTCCTGTTATATCAGATTTCAATGTACTTGAATATGTTTTATAATATTAACACATTAATGAATTGTGCACAATTATATGTAAATTATGTTATGTACCTTATTAATATATTAGAGTAATATTATGAATCTTTTAAATGTGCATTTATTTTCTCGTGTTATTGATTTGTGAAGTTTGAAGCTTAGTTGTAATAGCGTAGATAAAAATAAATAATAAAAAATGTATCAAGAATTGGAAGGTAACTTACACCTGAAGAATACAAAATGAATTAAATAAATTAATTCTTTATGTTATAAAATTAATCCTGTACAACTCTAAACTTATTATTTAATTAAAAGGTTATACATTTAAAAAAAAAAAAAAACATAATAATATACTATAGGAATATTAATACACCAAACGCTAGAACCAAGAAAGTGATACATATGCGCTAAGTGACTAAACTATAAGAGGAAAAAATATCCCTATGTTTTGTAATAAAACCTAGAAATATAAAAGTAACGTAATAAAAATAGGACTACAAAAATTATAAAACTTAGGAAGTTATATATTCTAATGTGGAACAATGGTATATATAGTATTAAGACTTTGTCTATTTCAGTTTTTTTTGTAATAAAAAAATTCATCTCATTGATGCTTGTTTAATTCTTTCCATTAAACATACCTATGATGGGTGTATAATTATTTATATACGCATTGTATAATATAAATAATTAATTAGTGTTACATGAAGCTATTTTACATGTAATTTTTTTTTCTGTTTCTATATAGATCGTTTATTTTTATTAAATATTTACATGAATAAGATATAATATATAGGCTTCATGGTTAATATTTCATTTTATTATTTTATTTTACATTTTTTAGTTTATTCCAAATGGGAACTCCTTATAACGCACCCAAAAAAACAATAAGGAGCAAATCACGTTTCAATAGGAGTTCAGGTGGTAAAGGTGATAGCAATGGTAATAGAGATAATAATATAAAATTATGAAGTCAAGTTTGACATTATTAAATATATATTCCTAAGATAACATAAAACTACAAAGATAAAGTGGCACTTTGTTAAATGAAGTATAAATTAAGAATAAAATGTGTTTTAACTAGAATAATTTGTTTGCAGATGCAATATCTGTTCACATTAAAAATTATAAAAAATATATATGCATAAAATAAATGAAAAAAGAGAATAAAGCAATGTGTATTTTATACATATGTAAATTTTTATTAAATTAAGGTAGTTACAATAATATTAAGAAAAATAACAATAACACACTGTTAATGGCATAACATATGTATTGAATAAAAAAAAAAAAAAATGAAAAACATATATAAATATAGTACTTTTGTATATTTACTATACGTGAATAAATGATTGATGATGAAATTCGACACGCATAAGGAAAACTAATATATCATTGGGTAATTGAGAGTACGTTTTTAACTGAGTTTCAGTGGGAAGAATTTAAAACCAGTTAGCGTCCTTTTCAGCAGATGTAAAGAAATGCCCGAAATAGGAATTTTAACTTATAATTGAGTGGATTATATTGTCTTTTTTTTTTTTTTTTTTTTATGGTATTTTTGCCTTATTCTATTCGTTAATTTTATAAACATTTTATAAAATAATATCATTAATTTTTGCATTGTAAACATACCCTGTTTAAATAACCCAATAATTATGAAGTCATTGTACAATGTTTAACAATAATAGTACCTTTTTTTTTTGCTTACTTTTTAATAACTGGATAAATTTCATTACTATAGCAGATATAACAAGGTGTAATCTCAAGAGCAATTTTGTTGTTCTGAATAAATTTTTTTTTTTAATTATCATATGAAATATTATGTATTTGTAAAAAAATAATAAAAATCGACCATTTATTAACATTGAAAATGCAGAAAAAAATAATTTCATGCAGATTTTCATCTTTGTAAAAATAAAATGATTCCGTTTTAACTTTTATTGTATACGATCACCTATAATAATATAACGAAAAATATTTTTTGAAACATGTTTTCCATGAGCTGTATTTTACAAAAAAAGAAAGAAAAATATTTGAAATTATAAACTTTTTTTTCTTAAAACTATTTATAATAAAATTCATTTCAAATTATATATATGAAAAATGGATCGTTCTACACTTATAAACCAGGTCAAAAGAGTATTTTGTTAGATATTTTTTTAAAAACCTAAAATGCTATTTTCTCGCAAGTGAGACGTCCCGACATTAAATTTAAAATTTTATGTCCTGTAAAGTATGGCATCTTATAAAATAATACAATATATTATTTTTACATTATAATTATTTTTCTTCATTTACAATTACAAAAAAAAAAATTTTAAATGATGTATTTTTGATATATTAGTAGTATGTTATAATTAAAATTATATTTTAATAAATATGTGCTGTAGAAATATTTTTGTGAGAAAATAGTTTTATGAAATTAAACAAAATAAAATTCTACAATTATGCATTTAATTTATAGTCATTACACGTATTCCTTGATTTTTGTTCCTCTGAAAATTATTAAAATTAATTTCTAAGACTTTTTGAAAATTATTCATTTATTTTATTTTTTTAGAATATGTAACATATGTCGAATATTTGCGCTCCTAATATAATTTTTTTATATTTTGAAATATATCTATATTTTTGAATTTGCTTGTAAAGTTCGAATTAAATGTTTTTTTGATTTTTTATAAAAAAATTTTGTAAAAATATTTTAAAGTTATTTCTTAGTTTTTTCAGTTACGTTATATTGTACGTATGAGATATATCTCTTCTATAAAATACTCAGAATTTAAAAAGTAAAAATAAATTTAATAATTATCATTGCAATTCTCATTTTGAATTTGAAAATATAAAATATTTTATAATATCAATGCATAATACCATGAAAGAAAGAGTAAAATCTCTTAATTTTCTTAAAGTTGCCACCACTATCATCCTTTTAACTTGCGATGGTCTGAGTTATAATGATTCGGTATGTATAATAATAATAATAATTGACAATAAATGATACCACGCTCTTTTTTGTCTATATGTTTTTTTTATTCACGTCACTCTTTTATTTTTTGTGATTTTATTTTGTTGTCGTAAAAATACATTTTTGTATGTATATATTTGTAAATAATAAAAATTTATGTATTGTTATTACTTTTTAGGGTAACTTTTGCATGCTATTAGATAAAAGGAGCAATATAAATGACAAATACTCTATAAGACCTCAACGAGTATTAGCAGGAAAGAATAAGAGAAGGGATTCAATATTTACAAATTCAATTGAGGATTTATTATCAGATTATAAAAGTGATGGGAAAAAAGTACACAATTATGGACATCATCACCCCTCACGATATAATGTAGAAAATAATGATTATGAATTTTCACAACATGATATAAAAGATGATGATTTTATGCAGTCCCAATTTGATATAACAGATGATGATGATGATCTTAGTATACCGCGTTGTGAAGAAATTGATTATGATAGCATAATAGACCTTACGATAGCAAAAGGAATGAATCAAAAAGACGCGTCATCGAGATATGGAGAATCACATCATAGACGTGGGGATAACATTTTTCATGAAGGAAAAAAACATTCCATTAATACGTTTCACAGAAATGATGACTATAATGAAAGAAGAACATGCAATGCATTGAAAAGTTTAGACAACTATGATGAATATGCTAGTGAGGAAAAGAGAATTGTGAAAAAATTTTTACATAAGAGTAGTACTAAAGAGTATTGTGCACATGGTTTAGCTGCATTGTCCCCAATACTTATATTAACACTTCTTTTAAATCCATCCTTAATGCTTTTATCTTTTTTTGGTTCTGTTGTGGGGTTGACAGGGTATTTTTACAACAAAAATAAAAAAAACAGATATAAAAGTAGATTTAACACGAGAAGCTTAACTTACTAATTTAATTTTTAAAAGAATGTGTCATACAAAATTATAATTTTTTTAGACATCGTACGAACAATCCGAAATAGTAAAAAAGTAGGTTGTGCTTTATGATGAATGCACAAATTTTGCAATAAAACAAATGGCACCTGCATTTGAAGTGCCCAGATATAGAACAAATGTAAATATATATCATCCATTTTCCTGTATTTTATAATGTTTTCTCATTAATTTTTTAATTTAAAAAAATATTTTAGAATAGAATTCGATTATTTGACGTAGCACAATAAACACATAAACAAAATTTTTTTGTTTTGAGAAAACGCATAATTTGTGTAAAATTTTAGTGTCTATAACTTTTATACATAACGAATCTATACATATATATATTTATGTTTTTATAAATAATATTTGTATAAGCATTATGCTTAATATATAAAATAGCAATTTGCAAAAATAAATTTAATTAAGTCTTCAATTAAAGCATATATATATGCTAAAAATAGAAGTTTGTTTTGTGATTTTTTGAGTAAAAATTTTGTTTGATCTATTTATGTAGTTTAAAATGCATATATCTTCATTATTCTTACATTTTTTATTTGAAATTATGAGCTGTTATAACAGTTATATATAGATTTAAGTGTCCATATATCCGTATTAATATGCATCAAACTCTGCAACGCCTCGTTTACATACATATTTTTATTTATAATATGAATAATAAGAACCTTTAGAATGTTATTATTGTTCAAAAACTGCAAAGAAATATTAAGAACATTTATATACACATTGTGTAGTACGCTGTATAAAAATTTTATGTCAAAAACATATCAAAACATAAACGTCATTATTTTTAACAAAAATAATATAGCATTTGTAGATTTATTAAATCGTCATATTTTTATCACATTATCTTTGATGTAAAATATAGAAGGAGCAACTTTAATAATTTTATTGATGTTTTTACTACCAAGAATTAGCACAATTTTCGAAAGATATAGACATGCTAAGGTGCCAGCGACACAATGACAAGAATACTTTAGTTGATTCGTAAAATGTCTCATGGTTATTTTTCCATTTGTAACACATACTTTTGGATTTTTGTTAGCATAAAGCTTTTCAAAAATTATTTTTTTCTACTTAAAGTAAAAAAAAATATTAGATAAAGTCAAATCACAACAATTATGATGATTTACATGTTCATAAATAAAGCAAAAAATAAATCGACAACTCTAAAATTATATTTATTTTCCTATAGTTATCATATAAGTATCCCATATTAAAATACCCTTTTCATTAACTATACAGTTTCTATTATCTTACGACAAGTGCCTTATGTTACATGTAATATTAAATAGATAAAAAGACGAAGAACATTATTCCGGTAAAACATACCTGTAAGAAAATATTATCAATATTTCATTCTTTACGTTTATTCTGTAAGGCATAAATATCAATATATATGTATATATAGCATAATTTTTCTTTGAAATAGTTGGTAATTAATTGAAATGGAATAAATAAATTAAATAAACACCTAGCATAAATATATATCCCCTTTCACTTACTCGTTTATAGATAACAATGGCCTAAACTTCGTTCATAAGCTGTTCTTACCATAGCATTTATACTAGGAATATTATACAAATAACTGTTTTATAAATATTTGAGTTCTTGTCCATATTATTATAACATAAAAAAAAAATTCTTTTTTTAGATATATTTTTGATTTTTATTAAACTGTTAATACACTTGTGTTTTTATAATATTTTTCTTTGTATACATCCAGATGATATATTTTAAAAAGCGCATATAATACAAATAATGTATATTACAATGTTCAATAAAATGCAGTTGGACAATTCTATTTGATAAAATGTGTAGAGTAATAGATTGTTTTTACCTTTTATTACTGTAAAATCTAAAATGTGTTCGATTCTGTATAGTTATATACATAAGATAAATATAATAATAAATACATATATATTATAATATGTTATTATTATGTAACATTAATTTATTTTACTCTAAAAGTTTTAAAATTACATTTACATTTTTCATTATAATAATAATTTTTATGGTATGGATATAAATATTTCAATGCACCTAAGATAGAGTATTAATCCATTAAAAAATCGTAGCTTGTTATGACCTTTTTATTTCTTTCAGTTAATTTGTGAAAGGTTGTATATGTTTCTAAATTTCAAAATTTATTTAAAAAAAATTTTGATCATATAAAATGAAAATAATAAAAAATTTTCGAAAAAAAACAATTTAGAATGAATTTTTGTAAATTTAAAATATATTTATATCTGTTAAGATCAAGTTTTGGGGTAATAGAACACTAAATGAAGTTTTTAATGTATTTTTATGTAACAAAAGGAAAAAAGGTTGCTTTTATTGTTTTAACTATATAATAGTGTAAAGTAATAAAAGTTTATAAGCGTCGTAGGAAAACTGGAGAACAGTTTTTTTATCCGTTTATTAAGATTGAGAAAAATTATTATAATTCTAATAAAAATAGGAACACCTGAATCTAGTTATGAATAAAAAAGCAATTATATTATTTTTTATATTGTCGTGTCTGCATAAAAGACATCAGATTATGCTTGTGGACCCTAGATGCAAAGCAATACAGTGGTTATATAGGATCTACATAGCTACATTATAGATAGAGAAATTGGGTTACATGGAAAAAGCAATAAGCATGCTATGTTAAAACTAATGCGTTTAAAACAAAAATTATGATGAATATACACTCATCTGATTTTTAAGACAACAATTTAGTAGCACAATAACATTAGTACCAAAAACATTTTTGCGCACATCAGAATCCACTTAAGAGTATTGAAATTGCTATTAAATATAATTCGTATAAACCCCATGTGAAAAAATGCATTATCTTTTTCTATTTAAATTAAATATTTTATTATTTAATATAAATTCTCCATAATTCACTAAAAATATGATAAAAAGAAGATTTCCTTGATAGAGAACTTTAAAAATGTCTTAAATTAAAAAATTACTTGGTTGCAATTTTAAAAATATACCCACAATATACACATATTACCACAAAATTTAGAATAAAACTTATAAAATATATTCATTTATGAATTTTCTAAATTTATTGCTAATTAAACGGCTAAATGTTCTATAATTGGTGCTATAGAATTATATAAAATATCCTTAAAAGGTATCAACGAAAATCACGTTTAAATTTTTTTATTTTTTATGTATGTTAAATGTGGAAAACATTAAAATGCTTTTCAACAGACCAGCTACCAACATGACATTATTAAATTAAAAAATATAAGGTATAACAAAATTTATAGGTTAGGAATATAACATTATAGCTAAAATTGTCAAGATAGAATAAATGTACTAATAACCATTTTAAATATAATTATAGGAGTAATAAAAACTTTACTTTTGAATGAAAAAAAACGATATAACTAATTAACATACCCAAATAAAAAATTTACATATATGTGCAATAATTCCATTAGTCTTTTTTCATTCTTGTGCTTATTTAGAAAATTATATATAATATATTAACAGGAAATATACAATACGCATATAACATTTATTTAGCTATGATATTCAATGAAGTTGTTATTTTACACAACTTAAAAAGACGTTGTACAATATTATTTTCATTAGTTACATATTTAAATGTAATAAATTGTCAATAAAGCTGTGAAAATTCAATGTGCAAAACGTTTTATCTTCATATGTTAATTTATTTTACATTTTATATAAGGAAAAGATTATATTCAAAAGGATTATTATTTTGTTTTACTAAATTTAATTTGTGTCTCCTTAAAATGTTATAATTTTCGAATAAATACATTATCTTATTATTTACTTTTTATATTTTTTTACATTTCATGAATCAATATTTCATAAGAATGTAATAAAATAAAAAAAAGGCACAAAAATTTCAACATGAACAATTAGACATTGTGTAAAAAATTTTCCAAAATGAGAACTATGAAAAAAAATAAAAATTTAATTTGATTCCCAATTTGTTAATAATATAGAATTATATCACAAAATAAATTATTTTAACTTTTAAAAAATTATACAAAATTCTGTATATTACATATATTTTTGTGTGTTTTTCTAGAATAATGCATAGATTTGAGCCTCATATCTTCACTATGGATAATGTATTTTATTTTTTTTCTTATAATTATAATTTGTGAACACAAAATAATCATATTTTTACTTATAATATTAAAATTATATATATATAATAATTTTAAGAATATGCACACGCAAAATATTACCCAATTCTGTCACCATCTTCTGCCTATGCCATATCGCACATTACACAATGGTGTCCTAGTCCATTCGTTATTGTGCAAGTTTCATATTCAGTTTGATTCAATATTTTTGGAGTTTCAAGAATCCTATTTAACTCATTCGATTTCTACTGCAAAATAGCTCAGTCAAAGTAAAACTAGGATAATATTCATTCTTACAAGCAAAATACTCCTCAAAAATCTAAATAATTGGGAACAAAGCAGTTCTGAACTTCATTTTTTTTTTTTCTTTATATAATTATTTAATAATTCAAACATATTTACGACGGCCTTTGCATATCTTTTTGTTAGTGTCTTTAGATAATTCATTAAGGTTCTCATAATTTTAGTAAAAATCATTTGGAATTTGCTCATCTTTTCATTCGTCTAATCTATTTTCGATATTTATATAACATAACTATAGTTCAAATGCACTGATAATATGAAAATGTTATTTTCTGTATTATTTAAAAGATTAATATAAATTATAAACAATTTTCATAACATTAGATGTTTAGTGCTTCCCTTATTTTCTCATACATACAATAAGTCAAATGTAAACAAAGGGTACCTTGTTCTACACATTCTTCCTCAACTGTATATAAAGCTATAGAATTGCTTTGAAGTTTTTCACATAGTGCTTTAACCTTGAACTCTCCTCAATTATAATTCATTGTATTTTTACACTACTCATAAAAATCATTTTCCTAGATGATGATAATAATTGCACCATATTTAAGCGAAGCATATTTATAGATTCATAAACAAGGTTCCATTATGTGTTCTATATTATAAAAAGAAGAAAATTTTTTTTTTGAAGTATCTGCCCTTTTGAAATGTTAACTATTATATTTATTTGTTATTTTTCGGTATTATTTTGATATTATTATGAGAATAAGCTAATTTATATATT